CGGAGTTTCACTTTGGAATGATGAAAAATTTCTGTAAATGAATAGCGGTGATGCTTCCACAAAAATGTGAATGTACTTTAATGCCCTTGAATTGCACACTTATAAATAGTTAAAAGGTAATTTTTATATTATGTATATTTTTCCACAATAAAAAATCCAGAAAATTTGACCGTTTTAAAGAGAACAATAAAGTGTTATTTAGTACATTCACAGTGTTGTGCAACCTCCATCTCTGTTTAGTTCCAAAGCATTTCCATCACCCCAAAGTAAAACTCCTTATTCACTAAGCAGTTTCCCTCCTTTACTCTCTCCCCCCAGTCCCTGGCAGCCATCAATCTGTGTTATAACTTGTATTGGTCTTCTTCTAGGTCATCCATAACAAAATACACAGATTAGGTGACTTTAACAACATAAATTTAATTTCTCACAGTTCTGGAGGTTGGAACTCCAAGATCAAGTTGTCAGCGGGTTTGCTTTCTCCAGATCTCATTATACCCTCATTTGGCCTTTTTCTCCTCCTCTTCTTACAAGCATACTAGGCATATTTGATTGTGGCCCCACCCTATATCCTCATTTAACCTTATTTACCTCCTTAAAGACCCTATCTCCAAATATAGCTACACTGGAAGTTAGAGCTTTAACCTATGAATTTATGGGACACAGTTCAGTACCTAACATTTAACCCTCTGTCTCCCCAATATTCATGTCCTTCTCATATTAAAAAAAAAAAAAAAAAAACTTCATCCAATCCCAACAGGCCCCAAGCATTAACCCATTCTAGCATCAACTCCAAGTTCAGTCTCATCTAAATATCATTTAAATCATGTCTGGATGAGACTTGAGGTATAATTCATTTCTAGGCAAAACTCCTCTCCAGTTGTGAGCCTGTGAAATTAAGAAATTACATGTTTCCAAATTCAGTGGTGAAATAGGAATAAAATAGATATTCTTTTCCAAAGGGAGAAATCATGAAGATTTCCCCCTATGTTTCCTTCTAAGAGTTTTATAGTTTTACCTCCTACATTAGGTTTCTGATCCATTTTGAAATAATTTTTGTATATTGTGTAACGTAAGGGTTCAACCTCATTCTTTTGCAGGTGGATATCCAGTTTTCCCAACACCATTTGTTGAAAAGACTGTCCTTTTCCCATTTTATGGTCTTGGCACCCTGTTGAAAATCATCTGACCACATCTGTGCGAGCTTTTTTCTGGATGTTTATTCTATTTCATTGACCTATATGTCTGTCTTTATGCCAGTACCACAATATTTTGATTATTGTAGCTTTGATAGGGGTTACATTGCAATGAACAGATTCTCCAGTAGAGCTTCCAGTGGGAGCCTGGCCGTACCCAGACATTGATTTCTGACTCCCAGTCTCCAGAACTGTGAGAGGATAAATTTCTGTTGTGTTTTTTTTTTTTAAGCAGCAGCCACAGGAAACCAGTACCAATGGTGAGTGGCAGGCTCAGTGGCAAATGAGTATTTATCCCTATTTTCACCTTACCACCTTTTCCCTGAGACAAGCAGATAAACTCTCCTTTGTTAATGGATAAATCCAAAATGGCTAGGACAGACTCTTACAAGCAAGTTTTTTTAAAAAAATTAATTAGTTAATTTTATTTTTGGCTGCATTGAGTTTTCGTTGCTGCACGTGGGCTTTCTCTAGTCATGGTGAGCGGGGGGCTACTCTTTGTTGCAGTGCACAGGCTCCTCATTGTGGTGCCTTCTCGTTGCAGAGCACAGGCTCTAGGCACGTGGGCTTCAGTAGTTGTGGCATGCAGGCTCAGTAGTTGTGGCTCGTGGGCTCTAGAGCACAGGCTCAGTAGTTGTGGTGCATGCACTTAGTTGCTCCGTGGCATGTGAGATCTTCCTGGACCAGGACTCGAATCCATGTCCCCTGCATTGGCAGGTGGATTCTTAACCACTGTGCCAGCAGGGAAGTCCCTCAAGCAAGGTTTTAAATGTGCAAGAGGAATGTAATTTTTATTAATTTTATTGTTTATATTTTCCCCATATTGTTTTTGTTTTTTTGTTTTTGCGGTATGCGGGCCTCTCACTGTTGTGGCCTCTCCTGTTGTGGAGCACAGGCTCCGGATGCGCAGGTTTAGTGGCCATGGCTCACGGGCCCAGCCGCTCCGTGGCATGTGGGATCTTCCTGGACCGGGGCATGAACCCGTGTCCCCTGCATCGGTAGGTGGACTCTCAACCACTGCGCCACCAGGGAAGCCTCCCCCCATATTGTAATGAGAGTGAAAGGCATTACCTGGTGTTCAGTTCATCATATTAAGACATATAGACCCTCCCCTTGAACTTTTATTTATAGTCTTGCTTTACAGAATATTTAATATTTTTACATAGTATATACCAATTATTCCCCTTATGGTTTCATCTTTTCTTCTTTTTCTAATGTTCAGATAGGCCTTCTCTTCTCTGATCTTTTCCTTGGATTCAGATTAACATATATCTATATTTTCTTTTAGTTATTTTATTGGTTTGTCCTTAATATACTTGGGATAAAAATAAATGCATGGGTAATTCTCAAACTCCAGTGTGCATCAAAATTACCTGGGAGCCTGTTAACAATGCAGTTACCTGGGCACCATTATCAAAGTGTGGTTCTTGGGTGTGGGGCTAGGATTCTGTATTTTAAACAAGCTCCACATGTGATTCTGAAGCATTTGATAGGCTAGCAAACTTCAAGGAGCACTGACATTACTATCTTAAAAGGATCTCATGTGTTGATTTTGGGGTGTAATTCTTCCTCTCTGATGTGTCTCTCACAAGAAAAACATTCTAGATAAATGAAATGACTTCCTTAGGCTCACACAGTCAATCAAGGATAGTGCAGAGAAAATAAACCAAAGATATTTTGGTGACAAATTATACCCAGTTGTTCTGAACTCTGCATGTACATCAGAATCATTGTGGGTGCTTTTACAATGTAATAATCCCTTGATCTCACTTCTAATGAGTCTAATTCAATAGGTTGGAATTGGGTCCTGAGCTCCACTTTAAAATCTGAGGTAATTCAAGCCTGCAGCCAAGGTTACAACCTATGCACTAAAGATAACAGCATAAATATAAAACAGTTGTCTCTTTAAAAAGGGGATGGCCTAGTGGTAAAACAAAGTCTGGTGTGTGTGAGTGTGTGTGTGTGTGTGTGTGTGTGTGTGTAATGAGGAGGGGAGTGTCCAAACTTGAACTAAAGTTGGGGCCTCCACTTTAAGTCCAGAGATGTCTGATGAACTTGTAGGATGCTGGGTGTGGAGTAAAATCTAGTTTCCTGAATTTTTAACCAGTTCACAGGTGATTCTGATGCAGCTGGTCTTTATAACACATGTTGATAAACACTGACATATATTAATATTATAACGTCCATGTGTTGAAACTGATGTATAATGCTTTCTCTATTGTGTTCCTTTTTCAATTGCAAGCTACAATCTGCAGAGAAAAGAATTCACTTGCTCACAAATGATCAGAGGCAAACCTGGGTCCAGCTTGCAGGACTTTCAACTCAGTTATAACTACCTGCAATTCCGTACAACTTACCAGAACTTGTGCTAGGCAATGAGGGTACCAGGACAAATGAGACAATATATTTACTGTAAGAAGGGAAGTCTAGTTAGGGAGCAGTGATGACTGGGTGGTGGAACATGTCCTAAAACAAGGGTCCATCTCCTGGATCCCCAGTCTCATCCTGTTTTCCGCTGATCTGTGATTACAGGTTTATTGAGCAGAGCAAAAATCAAAGTAAAGGAAGAGGAAAACTGCTCTGGATCCATGTATGTTGGTGTGAGTAGAGACTACCAAACATTCCTGCGGTGAGGGTGGTGTGGACCAGAACAGTCTTGGGGACATAAAGCCGCCCCAACACCTGTGTATGCCAAAAGTGAAACCTGTAGCAGTGTCTATGCAAAAAATGGACTGCCAAGAAGACTGGGCCATATTCATGGGAGGATAGAAGAGATAGTTGAATTCTGAGCACACTATCATGAGTGTCACTCAGATTTATCTTGGGGAATGGGGGGTGAGGACAAAAGTCTGAGAAAAACCGCAAAGGGCTGTTTGGATCCTTAAGCAGCACTGGGGAAGTACCCACCTGAATTAAGTATAACTCTAAAGCCGGATGGGACATTCTCTACATTTCTGAATAGGCAAACTGGGGATTCAGAGCACTGAGGGCTCCAAAAATATCAGTGGGTCTTTGTCACCTTTAAGACTCCAGCACATCAGCAGTGGTGGGGACAGTGGAGGGAGGAAAACCTAGCAGAAGGGGAAGGAGTGCCTCGCAGTCATGGCATTATCCAGGGAAAGGAGACACAGCAGCATAGGTGTAGAAAGGTGTCTCCTACCTGGCAGTCAATTGGACTTGCTGGTAGGCCTACTCCTTTGGTCCTTACCTAAATATGAAGGACACCTAGAGGGCTGGGCCTTGCATGTGTCGACGGAGCCAGCCACAGAGTTCGGTCATTACCTCATTTGATTCCCACAGTAGCTCTATAAAGCATGTACTATCTTCATTTTATAGACAAATAGGCTGATTTTAAAGAAACATATCTGTAATAATTGCCAGGTTTGTGCTTCTAAATAAGAGATCCAGAGGTAATATAAGAGTTATGTCTTTAAATTGTGCCTCAAGTATTTATTGTCTCCATTCCCTTTATAAGCTGAATAGTAAGTTATTTACATCTTACATTTTTTTCTGACACATGTGTATTCATTTTGGAAAAATGAGAAAAAACATAAAAAACTAAAGAAAATAAGAAAAAGACGCATTCTGATGTGTGTGTGTATGTATATATATATATATATATATATATATATATATATATAATACATGCTTTTAAAGGAGGTAGTATATCTACAGACTGCTTTCTAAACTGCTTTATTAGCTTTACAATATGTAATAGACATCTTTCCATGCAAGTTGATAAAATCTCCCCTGCTGACAGAAAAACTTACAGACTAAGTCAAAAGTGAAAATTAAATCTCCAATCAGAAAAATGACAGAACACGAAAGGTTCACAGTAAAGGGTACATCAAGAAAATGCAAGTTTGGGAAGCAGGGGGGTTTACGATTATTAACCTCAGCATTCAAGGCATAAGGCAAAATTCATCATGATGATCGTGGTGAGGAGGATCTCCAATAAGAATGCGCAGACTGTACCTCAACTGAAGCTCCCTAATTTTCCTCCTTAGCTCTCTCATCTCCTCCATGAACCTTTCCATATCATCTGCATCTCCATCTATGATGTCAATGTTATTGACAAGCCTATTGGGCATATCCTCTCTAAAATCTTGGGCAGGTGGAGCCCATTCCCCTCTAATGTTTCCTCCAGGTTCTTGGCCTTCACCACCTCCCAAAGGGCGGGCTTCCTCATTCTGCACTGGAACCTGCTCCTCTCCCCTGCTTTCCTTGGGGACATTTTCCATCTTGAGATTTTTTTTCCTGCTTCTTCTTCCTAGTAGATAAAAGGATTGAATGTTTTGTAAGAACAGGATTCAGAGCTCTGTGAGCAAAGGTTTTCCCACCTGAGAGACTTCGTGTGCCCTCTAAGGGGTGCCGCAGATCTAGCCCTGCCCCAAAGCCCACCATTTTCCCTGAAAATCCTTCCCAGGGCCACTCCTGACACAAAAATGTAGGACAGGTAGTGGGCTGGACCGTCGCTGAAAAACCAGGTCTTAGCCTCCAGGGATCTTGATATGCTCTCCAGGGGCACCCCACAGCTTCCCCCTTTACTCCCTTCTTCCCTCACCAGCCACAGGCCCACAGTTTCTAAAGACTTGGCCAGATTTCTCCTGCACTTAAGTGGGGCAGGGAGGTCTGGGAGTCCCCCAAATTCTGTTCTGATCCCTGATACCCCTACACCAAAGTGTCCCAGGCACCTCCCATACCTGCAGGAATCAGAAGCAATCTTCCTCTCGTAGCCTTGAAATCTGCTGCACCAACGGACCTAAAGACCTGCAGACAGAAATTCGACAATGGCCAGGATTGATCACTCGACTAAAGACCAGTATCAGGGGACACCAGCTCCATTGTTGGTTTAGAACTCTGCTAGAAATATGTTGCTGCCTTCTCTTTCTCCTCCATCCTGTCTCACAGCTTCTTTTCCCGCCCTGTGACGCGCTACCCTGCCTTCCAGAAGAAATCAAAGCTGATTATTTCCAAACCAGTTTCACCTCTTCTTTAGGCCCCTTATCTCCACTGTCTCGTCCTTCCCGTCATCTAATTACCATTTCTTGAACGCAAATGGACAACTTGCGGGGCGGGGGAGTCCAGAGAGGTTGCTGGGTGGCTACGTGGTTCATTTATAAAGAATTTCAATCTGGGTATCTGCCAGGACCTTTTGGGACCCAGTGGACTTTCTGGAGCTCACCCTCGGGCCACTGCCCACCATTTTATGCATCAAGATGGATGAAGAGGTAACATGGGCATTGCAAACCTGTCCCCGCTGCGGCGTCAGCGCTTTGTCAGGCTTACCCCAGGGTCCGCAGGTAGCGCCCACGCTTACACCGACCTGCAGGGACCAGAAACTGTTTCTCGTTCCCCGCCTATATCCCGAAATCAGTAGCCCGCCCGATCGACTGCCTCCTCTACAGAAGGGACGTGCTTCCCAGACCTAATCCCTGTCCCTATCCTCTGCAGCAGCCGCCCCGGTCCCCTCCCCGCACCTCTCCCCGGAGTTCCCGCAGCCCACCATTTCCGGCTCCAAAATGGAAGGAGGGTGGAGAAGAAATACCGGGAACGGTGGCCAAGAGCCGATGCAGAGTCTGCCATCCCCAACCCAGGGTCACAGGTTGCGCGCCCCCTCCCGTCGCCCTGCAGGAATCAGGCCGTTTCCTCGCCGTCTCCTTTTCTAGTACTTCCCTTCCAGGCGTCGCCCGATCGCCCACCTCCTAGGAGATACCAACTGGTACCCGTTCTTAACCCTTGGCCCCTCTTGATCTCCCACCAAGCCCTCTATTTCTTGCACCAAACGTGTGGACATCGGGGAAGGGACAGAGAGAATCCAGTCCTGGACCCGCTCTGGTCTTTGCCCTGAGGCCCCCGCTCCCCTCCCCAGTCAGTACCCTCCAACCTGCCAAGAATCTGGGTCAGCTTCTACACCTTCCTCCTTGCTGGGTACAGGTTCGCCCGTCTTCAAGGCAATAGCGAGCTGGCGTACAGCCACAAACGACTAAGGACTGCAGCTGGGAGGAGAGACTAATCCAAGGGCGGGCTCTAGGTCTCGTAAGGGCTACATCACTGTGAGCTCAGATCCCCAATTATGGTTCGTACCTGCGGAGCTGCAGAGGGTTGTGGGCGGGGCCACCTTTCTCCTCATTCCCACCTTCCCCCCACCAATACCACTGGGTACTGCCCATCCTTTATTTATTTATTTGTTTGTTTATTTGTTTATTTTCCTATTTAGCATCCTCGACACCAAACGGGTCATAATATTTTGTCGTATTTGCCTTTGTCCTGATTTCTGCTGGAGCTTTTAAAGAATTGAGTCTTCCTCTTCTATAATATTAAATGCTCACTTCTTTCCCTTCCACTCACCAGCAAGTAAAGCCCAGAATTGACCCTATTAGTCTTGTTGGTTTTGTCCCAGGCTGGAACCGGGACGGGGGAGGGGGGTGCAAGGCTAGGGAGTCTGGAAAATAGGTAGGAGGTAACATTTTTAAAAACACTTTCACTCTAATTATTTCCCTTTCTGTTTATTTACTTTTTGAAGGGGTGGGTGATGGTTTTTGTTCTGTTTCCCATCAGCATGCATTCATTTTTTGGTTGTTATAATTAGACAATACAATTATTTTCAGTTGAAAACTGATTCAAGTTGCAAAATCTTGGCAACATGTTTCTGCTGTTGAATCATCCTATAAATATAGACCCTCCAGATTGCACCCTCACCCCCTTTTAAGGACTTTGAAATATAAACTTATGCTGCTGGTTTGCCTTATGAAGGGCCTCTGTGCAGTCCTTTCATGAGATGAGGCAGTGAGTCTAGTGGAGTCTTGTTGGTGGATTTTCAGATTTTGAGAACCTGTGACAAATGTATCATCTCCTCTAAATTATATTTAAATTATATTAGTACAACTTCACTTTACAAAAAGACTCTAGCATAGCTTCTAAAATAGAGCAACACTGAGGTCTTCCAACAAGTCAGAACAGTAATTTGGGAAAGTTATGCTAACAGGTAAAAAGTATTGTGAAGCCACAATATTAAAACAATATTATACCAGAATAAATATAGGACAAATGAAACAGAAGAGAAAGCCAATTTTCAAACCCAAATATGGAGAAATATTAGTAATCTGATTGAAATATTTTGAATCAGTGGTGAAAGGTTAGATTACTGAAGAAATGGTGCTGGGATAATTGGTTAACTATTTGGAAAAAAAACGAAGTGTGTTATTCCTGTTATACACTTAAATACAGACACTAAATACTTAGATAAAAATACATAAATCATTGAAATAGTATATAACAAATGTTATTTTGTATATAATTTTAGGATGAAAATGTTTTTAAAAAAAATATAGCACCAGAGACAGACATAGCCAAAAGACAATTGGTCCAATCCTGCTGGGGACCCTCTAAGTCTAAGGAACCATGTACAGTGCTCCTCAGAATTATCCCAATAAGAGATGGGAAACTGGAGGATTTATCCACAGATGTGGATCCTTTATTGGTGGATGTTACCCTAGGAATGTTAAAATCTCTGGGACATCTAGATTGTCCTAAGACTGGGCTGTGCAAGCTCCCAAGGTGCCAGAAAAAGCCCTCAGTAAAATTTAGAAATAAGATAAAGTGGAAGGACAATATCGTTTTTATCCCTGCCTCAGGAATTATACTATTCGCATTTTACTCTAAATCAGTCCAAATATTTACCTTCAAAATAAAGATAATACACACACATCCATTCCCATGTTTATGGATATTGGGCTGTCTGTAGTTTTCATTATGAGACACACAACATTGATTGAACTTCTTTGTACATAAATTTTTGATAATAATATGAAGGTATTAAATTCCTAGAATGGTCATTGCTGTACATGATTATGGATGCTTTTAACTGGCATAGACATTGGCCTTGAAAAATATTGTCCCAATTTGGCACCTATAATGTATGAGCATTCCTGTTTTCTTATGTGTTCACCAACACTGGTTTACTATACTTTTTAAATTTTATTTTATTTTATATTTTGTTTCATTTTGCCTTATTTCATTTATTCTTTATAAAGTGTTGTCATAGTCATCAGGTAATGTTTTCTATACCTGCCAGATAATAGCAGACACCTGAGATTAACATTCCCAGACTATTCTCTGAAGATTCTAGTTCAGTAGATTGGAGCCAGGCCTGAGAACTTGCATTTAGGTTTTTTACACAATTCTTAATATTAGGTAGGGTTGGGAATCCATGTCATGGGCAAAAAAACAAAATGAAACAAAGCAAAAAGCTCCCATTGTTATTATTATGAAACAGCCTCAAAATTACAGAATGGTTTTGAAAATAGCACAAAGAACCCCCACATATCCTTCACTGTATTCTCCAGTTTTAACATTTTGCTACATTTGCTTTATCATTCTCTCTTCATGTAGAAGGACATATTATTTTCTGAACCATTTGAGTCAGTTGAAGATTGAATGGTCATTTAAAAATATTTACTTCAGTTCATTCCATATAAAATTTTCTTAAAGATGAGCCTATGTTTTGGTCTTTGGAGATTTCTTATATAAATATATATATATATATATATATATATATATATATATATATAAACTTGTAATGTATAAAGATAAATATTTTAGTGTATAATCTTAGTAAATGTTCTCTACTCAGTATTATACATAATTTATTCAGGCATCTATTTTAATAGAATAAGATACCATAAGCTGGTCTGCTACTTGCTTATTTATTTGCTTAAAAATATTTTCAGGTTAGTAACAATTTTACTACTCTCCCTGTTTTTAATGTCTCAAAACTGTTCAAATTATCATAATTTATTTAACCAATCCCCAATTGACTCATATGGGTATTTTTTCCATATATTTACAGTAACCAGTACTGTTTCAATAAATGTGTATAGGCAGATTGCCCTCCAAAAAGACTGTTCACACCCTCACCAACACAGGTTGTAATCAATCATACTAATTTATGAAATATTGGAGTCATATAAAACTAGATTGAGAGAATATAGCATACATCCATACTTTTATAATATATGTAGTTTGAAAATATATATAATAAATACGTACATGTGTATATATATATATATATATAAACACATACAGTTATTTTATATACTTTAAATGTGTGTGTATATATACATACACACATATATATGCATACATACACAAACACGCAACCTACTTTTCTTACACAACCTACTTTTTCTTAGAAATCATGTTTTTTGATTTTTGTTTTTTTGCCGTTGTTTTTTTTTTAACATCTTTATTGGAGTATAATTGCTTTACAATGGTGTGTTAGTTTCTGCTTTATAACAAAGTGAATCAGTTATACATATACATATGTTCCCATATCTCTTCCCTCTTGTGTCTCCCTCCCTCCCACCCTCCCTATCCCACCCTCTAGGTGGTCACAAAGCACGGAGCTGATCTCCCTCTGCTATGCGGCTGCTTCCCACTAGCTATCTATTTTACGTTTGGTAGTGTATATATGTCCATGCCACTCTCTCACTTTGTCACAGCTTACCCTTCCCCCTCCCCATATCCTCAAGTCCATTTTTTGAGATTCATCTATGTTGATATACATATAGATGTAAGTCCTTTATTTTTACAGCAGTATAGTATTCCGTTGTATTGTATTATAATTCATTTTTTTGTTTTCCTGTTGATGCACATTTAAATTTTTTCCCTACTTTTTTCTAATATAGCGATAGTTTCAGTGAACATCCTTGTGTATGGCTCCTTTGTACTTCATTTGAATTCAAAATTTTGTTTCTGTTGCATTTATTTGTTTTTAGTTTTTAGGGTTGTTGTTGTTAAGCCTCATCTGCCAGGATTTTCCAAATCTGCCCCTTTTGGGATTTCATCCTAGATATGAAAATAACACCTAGATACACAGGTTCTTCCTCTGGAAGTTCTGATTTAATAGGTCTCGGATGGGACATGAGAGTGTATTTTCAGAAGTACCCCAGGTAATTTATAAGATCAGGCAAGTCTGGGAAATACTTTGATGGGTTTTAAAAATTATCCTATTAATTTGCTGATTTATTTTCTTTAATTCTTAGTGTAGTTTAACTTCTAGTTTTAAATATCTTTATTATCCTTAATGGTTGGGTTTTTAAAAGTAGAGTAATACAGATATGAATAATGTAGAAAGTGCCTGAGTTTGCTATATAGTCTTTCAGAAGTTTTATTTTGTATGTATTTATGTGTAGGAATACTTTCTTAGCTCAAGCAAGGATGAAATACTTAAAATTGTTCTTTAATATTTAGGATGTTACATAGCTTCTAAATAGAGTAACACAAGAACAGATTTTTAGGTTGAAGGGAGAAGTTTCAAACTGAATACATTTCCCTAAGATTTCTGTACAAGCAAACAATCTATTTTGGTAAACCCTGAAATTGGTTAAGACACACACAAACACACATACGTCCCTCATTGATCTGTAATTTCCTTTTCTTCTACATTTATTTCAGTCTCTGTTCTTTCTAAATTGTTTAATTTTAATGATTGAATTGTTTTTCAAAAATAAAACCATCTACTTTGGTGTATATTATTGGAAATCGTTTTCTATGCATATACTTATATAAAGTAAAATGTTATTAAATCAGGGAAGAATTATATAAATGTGAGCTTCTCCTTTAGGAAAGGTACAGAACTATGCTTAACGGCAAGATGAAAGTTTGAAGAAAAATAATTTTAAAGTCACTACATTTTTCCCCATTTACTCAGCACAAGAAACTATTGTTCACCACTCAACTAGGTTTTTTTTTTAATGATTACAATTTTTTTCTAATGCTAAAAGTTGTAAAAATTTCATGGTCATAAAAGATTATTTGTTCTTTTGTTACTTCAAAAGCTTTAAAAAATTTTGAAACATTGTAATACAGCATGTCATACAGCAAAGACTAGTGGGAAAATTATTGTTTAAAAATTTCTATTGGCTGGGCTTCCCTGGTGGCACAGTGGTTGAGAGTCTGCCTGCC